CTCAGTTGTGTTCTTCTCTGGTTGCCTGCTTATCTTCCTCGCATGCCATTGGAATGCAGAGGGACACAGGATTGGCTGAGGCTCTTCGTGGTCCAATATGTCTGCGCCCTAATCCGACGCCACACTACACCAGCACACGTCTCCCCTTCCACGACCCATCCTTCAGTCACGTGAGGTCATTGGTTTGTTAACCACTCTGCATGTCCCACCACAACCCGTTTTAGTCATATGACCTTACAGAGACCTGTGTTAATTATTCGTACATGTCCTTTGAACCATAAATGTACACGACACAACTTAGTTGAGCGATCTAGTAAACGGTTGTACCTTCTCCTCCCGGTCTTTATTTTGCGAAAACACAGGGTAACGCATCCTGCCTAGATTGTTACCAGGACCCTCTACAATCTTAATATACTATTTGTATGCCTAATTACCTTCCTAAAATTTTGACAGAGACGGACTAGCATTAGAATGCAGTAATGCCTTATTTGAATTACTAGCAAATGCATTTTTCGAAACATCTTTTTTAAGAAATTTAAGTCTGGTGGCTTTTGTTCAAATGATTATAAATAAAATCGATATATCCAGTTGGTTTTTATGTTATTAATTTAAACTCGAGTCGAAGTCAAAATACACTACTTGACTCTACAAAGCAGTAATTATATCACACAACCATTGCAGCCAAGCAACCATTTGGAATTGACGACCACAGAGCTAGAGTTGAAGACGAAACTATCTGGAAGAGCTTCGAACATAGAGCCATCACAGGCATGCGATAAGAGACGGTGTAAATAGTATGCAATTGCATTTTGGATGAAATTATAACAGAAGAGTAAAGAAAACATAAATTTTAATAAAAATGGCTACATTGATTATATTGCTGCTTCCGAATGTACAACAACTCTTATTTCTTGCAAATGATCCTTGGATGCCTGTATCCTTCTTACATTACAGGTGGTGTGTGTTAAAAATGGCGCGTGCAATTTTAAAAATGTATTTAGACATCACAACATCTGCAAAGGAATTTGGCAAACTTTACCTTGTCTATTGGAGTTCTGAGAATTAGAATGGATATAAAGATAATGTTTTGACAATAAACGTAGCACGCTATGGTTTTTTAAATTACGATGAGGTAAGCATACTAAAATAGCGGCAGATTTTTCACAGGGAAAAATACTTCTTGTACTTCAGGTATTACGTGGATACTTTATGAACTGTCCAGCTATAAATCCAGTGTACTTCAACTCGTTTAACTTACCGATCCCAAATACCATGCTGGCGCGCCCTTTGATAGGATAGCATCTGTCGATGGGCATTTCTAAGAAAGATGGCTAGTGATCATTGTGCCGGAAATGCAGGGCAGTGGGTGATTCCTGAAGTTCCAGAGTAAGGTGTTTATCAGACCGTATTTTTTGGTTTTTCTGCTTCCTTGTGATATGCCTTTTTTCGTTAAATACTACAATGATGGCCATCATGGTTATTGAACAAAAGTACACTAGGTTCACATTGATGGCGTAATGACTAGTTCTTTATTAATTATACTGAGTTGCAACATTAGGAAATTTGTCCTGGCAACTTTTTATAATTTGACCCGCCTCCGTTTACCGTTGTTATCTTGGTTGATTTTATTTGTCTTGACAACTGTCCAGTTTTAATTGTTCTGAGTTAGTAGTATGCAATCTAAATCACGTTTTGGAAGTGCTTTCATTGCATAAATTTCAGCTTTCCTTTATCCAAATGGCACATCAAGTTGGTGTAGATGGAAGAAATCTTTGCTAGTCTTAGTCAAGTCACAGGTATGCGGGTACTACATGTAATATATTTTTGTTAATCCCTGGCCATAATTATTGATAACAATTTCAGTTGCTTTCACGGTGAACTGACCCGTCAAGAAGCTGAAAAGCGCCTACTTCGCTTCTCCATTCCAAACAGTTATCTACTTCGCCTCAGTGTATATGAAAATGAAGAAACTGGACAGATATCTCTGTACTATGCCTTGTCCTTTCTTACCTCGAAGCTTGTATGCCAGCATTACAAGTACTGTATTTGTTGCATGTATTATCTTAGGCTTGTTCCTCGTTTACAATCATTCCAACTTGGTGAACGACTTTTTCAATGCCTGAAATGCATACTTTCACGATATTATCAATGTCCAATCGTCCCCGGAGAATATTTAAGAGTACCCATTCCTCCCTGTAGTGTAAGTTGCTTATTCATGACTTAGCGATAGTGCACGGAAATCAAGAGAAACCTCGGTCTTTCGTGTTATCTTGTGACCAATATCTTACTGTATTTGATGGCGTTCAATGTCTAATTTACCCACCGTTGTTGTGGTATTTTATTATATTTTGTAAACCTGATCCTTTTTCTACCATGTACTATTTTCATAAGCATTATTCCTTCAGCCAGTTCCGTGTGTGCATTAATATTTGGTAGACCTATATTTACAAGCATATGCTGAGACCATCAAAGTTGCAATATACTATTTTCTTAATCACGGTTCGAATGTCTTGGAATTCTGAAGATTTTTCTACAACATACTTCAAGCACACTCTTTAACAGCAGTCTTAACTTTAATAGCGCCTTTGCCATTGTCTTTAAACAACTACATTATCTTTCTCTCCTGCTTTTTAGCCACCACAGGAGTTTTATACTCGTCGAGTCAGAGCTACACGAAGATATGAGCCGCCATGTAACTTGCGACTCGGGTGAGTGCAAAAGTCTGTTTTTTTTATGATTTCAGTCGATTAAGCCAATTACTTGGGAGCATTTGATGGGTTTCCCCACTTTGTTTTGGTAACCAGTAGCTCAAAATGTCAGTGTTCATGTTTGAGTGTTATGCTTGTTCTACCTGTTTCTTTCAGACTACTTATGTCTGTGCAGCAACCGTACTGGTTAAATATTGGTTACTCTGGAAAAAAAGTATTGATTTTTAACTTTCAACAACATTTATTAAAAAGTATCAATCCTTCAAATTAAATTGAGTTTTTTTTGAGATGTTTATAGTTCCAATTTAAACATTCACCGATTATTTAGTATTGGGCTGTTTCGCTGATCGTTTTGTTCGACGTCATTTTCAGATTTATGTAAGTAGATTTTATTCGTGATTTTTTGTGTTTTTTATTAGAAATGATTTGTCTAGGAAGAGTGGGATCTGTAGTCTGTCACTTTACTGTGTGCCGCACAGTGACGCCAATCGCCATTTTTCGATCGATTTTATTTGGTTTGTAACTGGTAGACTGGGTTCAGATCATGGATGTGGGTTTTTGGTCGCCTTGTCGCCTTACTCATGCCTGATTACTGCCTGTATTTCGATTTTTGGTGTCTATCCACTGTAGTCGTTTTTGTTTTCTGGCTCTTAAATGTTTCAGTCATCACGCTGAAATAAAGAACTAGAAAGTCATCTACTTCGAACTGGCTGGCTTGTCCCTTCCTCTCATTTTTTAAAACACTAATAGCCACAGGAAGACCATGCGGCTCCTTTTAGTTTTGTTTTCGTTTTGACTTTCATTGGTGAATGGCAAACATGGCGTTTTGGCTGGCAGAGTAATGTGTGCTCGAACTTAAACGAATGCTCTGTATTTAAGTTTAAAATGGGACCTGCTTTTTTCTTTATTTATGAAATTACCATTTGTTATTAAATCGACTTCATTACTTTCAATAAGGGTAGAAAATGTAGTAGTCTGTGTAGTCTCATGCACCTTCGATGCAAGATATTAATTTCGTATTCCTCTAGGCTTGTCACAATTAAAAAAGTAGCTCGTTCATTTACCAATGTAGGTTCATATTGATGTGTTCCTTCATAAGTATGGTTCACAACGTTTTGCCTTGCCACTTCGGGCGTATGCATATGGCTTTCTTTGGCTGGTAATCTTTTTTCATTAAGATGCTTGTCTGGTGACTGTTTAATTTTCATCACGTTTTTTTCTGTTGAGAACTGTTACCAGACTTTAACACGGGATTAGATGAGCCCCCATTTTCATCTTATCGTCTAACAGCCTTCTGATGAAGTTCAAGTAATACGTTTTTTGGGGTTGCATTGCTTTATGTTGTCTCATCATACTCAACACCTCGACTAAAATGACATGTCTCTATCCTAGCGCTACCATTTAACTTACTCTTGTCGGCGTTAAGATGAACGTGTTTTGCGTTAAAAATGCCGTGACCAACCAATCTGCAAAGCACTGTGGAAACTGCCATGTGCGTCAGGGATTTGATGCTTGTTTTTTTATAAATCTGTCTTGATTTAAGCCGCCTTCTTGGCAATTTCCAGTAGAATGAAATCCATGTTTAGCCTGCAAATGAGTGAACAATAGAGGGATGGAAAAAATCTGAAATTTGAGGCTGGTTTTTTCAAAAGCGCCTCAATCAGCCGAAAATCGATTTTGGTACAAAATTACTTCTAGTCAACTTTCTTTAGATGGTTGTTTTACTACCTTCCTTACATCTGGTGCATTAGAGCGAGAAGTAGGTTCCTGTTCTGAATTTTGAATTGTGTATTACTAACAAATAGCCATTTGACATTATCTCAACGCCTTCGTTATTTACTATGGTGGGATTAACATTATTAAGGGAATTTATTCAGGGCTTGTGCAAATACAGAAATGTACTTACAACTAATTTACTGTAGATAATTTGCGGTAATTAAAGTTAATTGACTTTTCAAAAACCACTTTAGGTGCAAACCTGGTGACGAATTTCTTATTGTCGACGATGAGTCTCACCCTGATTGGATGCTAGCAACCTCGGTGCAAACACGTCAGAGTGGATACCTTCCGAAGTTTTGTCTTGAGGTAAGTCCGCTTTAGATTTCTGTAGCAACCGATTTCCACAGCAGTGAGCCTGTCGAAATAGAACTGGTTCCGTAATATCGCAACAATCACTCTGTCCAGAGTCTTCTTATTACAGCATTTAAGGCCAGAAGAATATTGGGAGTCCTGTTCGTTTAGTCTGATGCTTGTAGCTACCTACTTCCTCTAAAGACTTTGCGTTTGGTATCAACCCCGTAAAACCGCTGTACACGACTTCAAGAGTGCTTGATAACCTACGGTAGATAGAGACAGTGGCGTCTTGTTTATTAAATAAAATGTGTATCTGAGATTGGTTGCTGCAGCCGATTTAAAAGATTAACGCGTTCTAGTCTGGTTTTGTGTTAATGCCTACTTAATTAAAGCGTAAGACTGATTGGAGAAAGTGCGGACAGTGGTAGCCAAAAATTTTAGTGAAACGAAAGTATCAGAGAATGGCACCAGCCGCTTTACTGTCAGTGGTCTTGTGGCCGGGAATCAAGAGTCAATGTAAATGCTCGATTTCGATACCGATGTTTAGCTGGGCTCATAAAATTATTCTATATTGGAGGAATCTCCGTGGTTTTGTGCGAAACAGTTTATGTAAACAAGTCCACTGTCTGTACTTACTTCGTTCTCGTTTTTTTCCAAAATTAAGCTCATTAAGTAGTTAATATTTTTTAAATCGCCAATTTCCTAAGTTGGTGGGGATCCAAAGTATTGCTTTTTTTCATAATTGAGTCAAATATGAGTGGAAACGGGTGGTTAGGTAGCTGTAGGGACGTTATGCAGGGTAACTCTTCCATTTTATGTAATTTGTAATTCTCGCAAAAAGCGATGCATATTTTGTGGTGTCGTAGGTATTGTGATGCAATGCCGCATTTACTGCTAAACCTCCAACCCCGGTGTTGTGATCCACGTGCTCTGAGGATCGTATAAATGCAGCGTCTACGAAGCTCACCACCGTGAATGAGAGCTGATCACGAGGTCTTGACTACGCGCGAGACTTCCCATTGTACATGCAGACAAGCCAAACAGATTTATTAGCACAGTGTTTAAGTGCGCAAGTGTGGTTAGAAGGACACTTACGCACACATTTCGGTCGGTACAATGACACCTTCGTATACAGCGCATTCGCGTACAACGCATTTACGTGCAACGCAATCAAATTAGCCCGTTTCCGTAATTGTAAAGTTTCCTTGTGCTGGGGAGATTGCTTTTTTTGATAATGCTACAAGAACCCTGTTACTTTAGTCAACCTTGTTGCATCACCCCTACGTGCTTGTGTCGTGTTCTTTGTTTGCATCTGCCGCTTGGGTGAAAGTCACATCGCTACGCGTCGCCAAATTTTGCTAAACCATCCATGTATCTGAGGATCAACTATTCGTTGCTTTGTTTCGTTCGACGAAACAAAGCTGATTTTATCATTTTGTGGGGTGTATGGTTTTCCACTAGTTGCTCAACATTGACTCACAAAAAGACATGCATGGCTGCCATTTTTTCCCAAAGATCAAGTAATTAGCGCTGGCATTCTCTCCCTTGGTTTAAATGTAAGGAGGCAGGTCAACAGACTGAATTGTTACGGCCATCATGACCCGATGGTAATGCAAGAGCGCCAGATCCCCAATGGTACCGCTTCCAAACGACCAATTACCCAAATTTAAAGGAGGTGCAAATTCGTTTAATTGCCAAAAGGTGCTGTGTTCGGATTTAAAAATCGGGTGCCCTTATTTATTTATCAGTTAAAAAGCATGTCGGTTAATCATGCAAACCAATTGTAATGGTTCGCGGAAATCTCAGTGCAGTCAAGAGGTGTGCTATTTGATGTTAGGATGACCGTAGATCTCGAGCTATTGTAATGCATTCACAAGGCTCCGAAATTCTAGATTCAGGTGCTGTTCTGGGCTGTGCTTTTATCAGATGAACTTACGTAACTGGTTATTTGCCAATGACGTGCATGTCAGCGACATCAGTGCTGTTTCAAATAGGCCCCTTTTAGTCAGTCACGGCAATGTTTCGTATGCGCCTGTTTTCTTTCCAAAATGGCATTTTTTGAATATTTGCTGCATTTAAGCTATGTGTGGCAGACGACTTTGACTTTGTAAATTGCGAAAACAATAAGTTTCTCTTCTGCCCCTTTAAACAACTTGAATACTTACTAGTACCTACGCCTACTGGCTTATTTGCTTGCATTGTCCACCTTCTTTAAGGTTCGTTGCCTTCTATGTTTCAGAAAGTTTACCCTAATATTATTGAGCGGCTATCTTTTTTCCATGAAGACAGCACTTCTCTGGAACACCAAGAATTACTGAAACAGAGTACGTTCCATCTATTTTTTGTCAATACTTAAATTGTGCAACCGTTATGTCTACTGATTATGATAGAAGTAGGTGTTATATTTCAGTTGCAACAAAATGTATAGACTAGCCTGGATTCCTTTCAGTTCATGTCGTCTACTAATTGTGGTAGTCATCTGTCGGCTTACTTATGTAATGATGCAGAATGTATATTCGATCTCGAAACGACCCCTTTGCTTTAGTTAAAGTATGGCAAGCATGAGCGCCCTTTCGTTCTGTCATTCTTTTGAAATGCACAGAACTTCTGGGTAGTTCTTTCCTACTGATTGACTCTTAGTTTTTGTTGAAACTGCCTTACGTCAATCTTAGCCAACTGTGTTTACTGTTGCGTTCTGAATGAACGGTTTAATGTCGAAATCACGTGCAAGTCTAACGTGTTTCCCTTTGCTGGTGTTCGAAGACTCAAGCAGATGGTCAAACATCACCTCGATTCGCTTGGTGAGGTGCGCAGTGAAGAGACTAAATTAGCTTACAGTCTCACTGTACTTGTCCTAAAAGATACCTATTGTAAACGAAGACTCAATTTCTAGATTTCTTTATTCCGTATTATTATATGCGCGAATTGTGCTGACATGACTTCAGTATGCCGCACTCTTGCCTTCAAACCACTTTTTTCGGTTATCTTTGCACTTGGTGGAAACATGTCATGTTTTTTAACATTGAAACTCGTTCTAGTTTTGAATGCTTAACTGTTTGACAAAAGATCCCTTGCTTCATTATGGATTTGTATATTTTGACTAGAGAATTGTTATTTTGCATGCACTAGACGGGCCGTTCAGTTACCTCCTTCGTCTGTGTGACTCCGACCCTGGCCTTTACACTCTCCTCGTGTATGATGGGACCCGCATTCTCAAGTACAAAATAGCCACAAGTGTTGTTTGGTGGGCTACTGTGTCTCCGATTAATGCTAGCCAGACGGCTTCGAATGGTGCTGAAGGCGACGGAGACGAAAACGGCGGTGGTGCCAGCTGCGTGAATCCTGTTATCCAGCCTTTCACGAAGCCTCTCTACGAGTCGGTAGTCAAGATTCGCTACAACAATCTTTGGTACACATCGGTGGAGAATGTTGTTGCTGCTATCGAGGCTCAATTCAACCAATCGACATCACCCTATCAACCCTGTCCTATTGAATTGAAACCCGTCCAACGCGGGCCGAAGGTGAGTCATGTTCCTTGCTGGTTGTTGGATTATTTCCTTGTTTATTTTACTCTTGTTGAGGGGTTTTGTGTTATTTATCAGTCATTCCTTCAGACTCGAGGCAATTTGTCCAGCAACTTTAGCGAAGTTGTTAATGCTGAAGATCCGTATAGGTCATTTTTAGTCACTGATTAATCAAACTTTGGCCCTTAGGCCGCTTTCCAGCATTTAAACGCTGACCTTATGCGCTATCAGAAACCAGACGGCATTCCGTAATTATTGAGGTTGATGTTAAGTCTAAGGGATATTTTAGCTAAAATTTGTTCATCTGCCTCCCATCAACAATGGCGTGCGACTTTAGTATTAAAGGATATGCAAGCGACGGATATTGCGAAAAAGCTGGCGATTTAATGAAAATTTAACTGCAGTTTGCCTGTATACGCGACTACCGTACCTCAAAAAAACATCTCAAATCACCTTCTATGTGGTATGAGGTCAGTGGTTAGTTTATTCATAGCGACGGTTTGTGCAGCAATCGTGCAAGTGTTGCTTTGATCTATTCGGCCCCGATTGCAACCAAGGTCATTGTTTATGTGTGTACTTTATCGGTTTTGGGATTGCCTTCATAGTGCACAGGTTAAGATTTTTTTTTGGGGACCATTGTGGTCTAAAATCTGACGTGCATTCACTTCATCGGATTTCTCGATAGTTATTTTGCTTAAAACGTTAGAAGTGACCAGTAAAGAGTTCGTCAAAGATATTAGCTTGCATTCACTCTAGTTATTCCCAGAGGATCAAATTCTGTTGTGTATACAGTTGACGGAAATAAAAATTGTGGGCTTTTGAACTTTCAGTCGTGAAATCGTGCTTTCCTGGCCAATTTTACCGAGTTTTAGCTAGTCAGCATTCCGTGAATAGATTGCTGTCATATTTGCTTTTGGTCATTACTTTAGCTAGTAGGGGACGCTGGAAGATAGTTTAAGAGGTATTCAATGTATTCGTGTCTTGAAGATCAAGGATTGCTCCTTCGTAATTTGCTGCTGTTTACGGACCGTGTTGCACCTACAAGCTTGTTGGCGATTAGCTCGACTGCGTGAGACGTGCTCAAGATGAGTCGAAAATTTTTTAACCCGACATGATCGAATGTTCCTGAGTAAGACTACGACATTTCTGTGAACAACTCACGTATTGACTTTCATTCGATCAGTCGAATGTCCGACGTTCCTATAAATACGAACGCAAACGGATCATCCTCTTATTGCCGCCATAAGTGGTAAATCGTGCGCTCATTTACCACCTTCTTCCGCTTTCCATTTTGGACCGTCAACGCAGTGAGTCGAGCTCTGTGCAGTTTAGGAGTAACTATGACTTGCCCAGTCTTATGATGCCTGGCAGGTCAGCCCTAACCGCCTGGGCCTACGTGTCACAGTCCTCCACACTATTTTGAACCTCGGTTCGGGGATTTGACGTACGATAAAGGGCTCGGCGCCTGCCTAGTTGTAGCGGCCATCAGTTTCTCTTTTGTTATGTCGCCGACTAAGTTCTCTCTTTGACTTCAGGATCGCACGTTCTCAGAATTGGCTTTTCGTTGTTGCCTTTTCGTTTTACCCATTTGTGAGAGTGGTTCGAAGTGAAATGGGTGCCAGATATTAAAGGAAACACAGTGCATGGAAACATCAGTACATTGCTTTGCAATTTAAGTGACAAGAACGGTTAATTTTCTCATTCTGAGTCATTCAGTTATGGTTTTTACCGGTGTACTTACCAACGGTGCCGCCTTATTTCAGTTGACGCCTTCTCAGGATTCCATCTATATGGCCGTCAGTTTTAATCGAAGACCTCCCTCACCTCGCGCCGTCATCGAGATACACGGGGAGCTTTCTCTTTGTAAGTTTTCATCCATTTATTTAATCACATGTTAATTGTGCAAGCGCATGAGCGCATCTGCGAACGCGTTTTGCAGATAAGGGAAGCCGGGTGTTACCGGGTCCCCATGTCACAAGTGGTAGTTATAGGCACTTAAGGAAAAATTACGCGATTTTCTCGAATGTTTTGTTTGTTTATTCCACATCGTCGACCGGTTGTCGGCTTAGCCGATCCGATTGTAGACTCGTGCGTGTTGTGGCTTGCTGGTGTCGTAAGGTTCCGTGGTTTCGCGCATGGTGCGTGGCACAAAGCCATACGACCATTTACCTAGCATGTTCGACCGGACTATTCACTTCCTCACACTACCGTAAACTAGTCAAGTCTTGACGCTTTTTTACCTAATTCTTAAATGCAATTTGGAAAAGACGCGATAGCAGTAACATCGTTGTTACGAAACATATATTTCATCTGAATCAGTATTATGTCACCATATTCTGATAGAAGTGGTCTCACAATGCGTCACATTGTTCTCATTTTAAATTGGATTTACACCAAGAGAGTGAGAAAGTGACCGATTTTTATTCACAAACCTGAAACTCATTGATTATAATCGACGTAGGCAAACGTATTCAAAGCCAAAAGCCCTAATTATTCAGTTTGATATTTCATTTACCACTAGGACAGGTCCGTAAATAGTGTTAATGGTTTTTTTGGTAACTTGTTTTATGTAAAATATGTGAGGATTCCGCGTTTTCCCACAGTCTCAGGGGTTGTTAGCACTACCAAGTCTTTCAAGCAGTAACTTCCTTGCTTAAAATGCAACTTGGTATCTGTGCTGCGTTTGGTACGCAGATCTGCTCTGATTCACTCGTTGTGGTGTTGGAAAACATTCTTAAAATTAGGTTTGTTGTTCCACCTGCGGGAGAACGTTCAAAACGCCCAGGTGTTCCACACAGCTGCAGAGAACGTTAACTGCCACACTTTCGTTGTTGCTATTTTGTAATTCTCCGAGCTTATTGTCAACGCGAAACCACCGTGTTTGATGTGGTTAATTCTTCGCCCCTGCAGAACCATAGACAGTATCCTCATTTTTATGTTTCTGGAGGCCTAATGCGAACATTAAATGGCTTGTCTGATGGTTGCAACTTTCTTAACCTTTGCAAACTCAACTTCAGATTATCTTTCACAAATGTAATGTCATGCAATGCACTGTAAAGCATTCTTTGCCAAAGGTGAAAATAAAACTTGCATGGTTTGGTGGGGAGCAACATAGTCACCGACTTGTCGTCCCCCTCCTTCCTGTGTGTTTCCTACAAGACACTTCCGTTTTTCGTTCCAATACGAGCCCTATCGTCGGAGATATTTTTTGAGCTATTTGATGTAGTTTTTTGTCTGGTCTGGTCTTAAAAGAAATCCTTCGCCTCACCGGCTTATAATTTGAATTCGGGTGCCAGTCACCGGGTTACCACCGTATTTCATTGCTAGACTTCTTTGCTAGGGTAGGAAGTCTGTCGCCCCTCTAGCTTCATGCTCAATCACTGCTCATAACTATCCCGATTTCATAGCGTGGCTAACTTAAATTACGTTCGAATGCAGTAATTTGTCCATTTGCTTTCAGAGCAATAAACAGAGCAGCGATTTTTGCTTATGACTTGTCCTTAAGGTATTCATCCCCTCAGTTGTCAATCAATGTTAGGAAATTTGCACAATTACTGAAGTCACTAGAGGCTCGTCCAAGCACATTGAGCATTTTTGAGCATGTATTTTCGCATAAGGCTTGGCGTTTTATTCTCAAGATCGCCTCATTCCCTTGTCGGGATCTCTGATAAATTTGTTACTTTATAACACATCGCGGTGTCTGTCCATCTCAAGGTTCTGCGTCGGCCTTTTTAACTCGTGTAATTCTCTGTTCCCGTTGGTCATTGTTTTAAATGCAAAGAAGCTACTTTGAAAGTAGACATTGGTAACTTAACTTAGTGGACTTTTCACACTCCCTCTGTGATGTAGAGTGGTTATGATCAGGGACAAAATCGATGTGCACTTAATCTGTTGTTCAATGTCTTCAGTGATGGTTTAGTTGGTGACTAAATCTGGTAATAAAAGTATAAAGGAGTTACAAGGTAACTGGTTTTAGTGCCGCTGACACCAATACCTTGACATTCCTTCAGTTATGCCTCAAGTGTATCCTGCATTGTTTCCATAATCAGCTAAGTAATGAGGTCACATGAAGCACAGCCTGTGTAGTTTCCTCATATTGTTGCCTATTACTAGACGTAATCCTGTATGGAATAGGTTTCTGCAAAACCAGCTTTATGATAAACCTAAGTTTCAACATCAGTCCTTCAAAAACACACAATCATGTTTTTTTTGCATGTTGTCCATTTTGTATTACTTTAGAAGTCGTTTTAATGGACTGACCCCTGCCACTCAAGTGGACCCACTAGGCACACATTCGCATCTTGTCTAAAGGTCAACTAGAGCTCCATTTCCTTTTCTATAGCTTCTCTACCGACCTTAGTGAAAATTTGACTTGATCTATGTCGCCATACCTTTTTGTACAAACCTATCCGATGCGAAAAAACGGTTGTTCCAAACTTGATTTAATCGTGATCGATCAAAGACTGACTAAGCCAAACAGTTTTCAGTATACTGTAAAAGCATTTCGCGAATAGACGTGTCTACTTCGTACTGGCAATACATTCACCATGCTAGACACAGTGATGCTTGAATATTTTTAACATTTCTGAATCTTCAATTCTTTATTTAAAGGGTTGCCGCCTAAGAAAAAATGGAAGCCATTATACGCATCGCTTGATGGTGAACAGAGCATTATTACACTAACTGATGGAGATAAACGGAAGCCCGAACGAATTGATCTCTCCCGTTGCGACTTTTTCCCAGTGCATCCTCTAATGTTTGAGTAAGCTTTGTTCGTTTTTTTTTCAATTATGTGTGCGAATCTCACATCAATTCAGGTATCAAGGATCAGTTGTGTTCCGGGCTATTTCCCTTTTTTAAAAAAACGAAAAGACAACGTTTGCATCAAAGAAAGGTTGTAAATATACAGATAGGTGCATTTTTGTTTGTAAATTTACACAGACTGAAAGATCTCTGTTATCTCTTGGTAGGATTTTTACGCGCTGTTGCTCGTTTTCGGCATAAGTGCATTTAGTCGGATTTTGTGTGTTAGGCGCGCGTGCCTACTTGTCACTTATTGACGTCTGTTTACCTAACTTCTCCTTCCTACTTCCTGTTGTGCCCAACGGGAATTAATTTCGTGTTATGCTAATTACACCTTGTATTGAGGAAAAGAAGGGCGAACCGAGTCGTATTTTTGCTATGTTGATAAATATATTCCCTTAGGATGTCATTGGTTCCCAGCTTTTATTCTAAATTGACTCGAAATTTTTCAGCGAACTTTATTTTTTTGGTATCCGCAATTAAATTGGGGTCTTAAACGAAACCTTGTCATTTCTGATATTTTGTGAATCATGTGTTTCTCTCTCATTCAACTCCTGTCATTTGTGTACAGTCCTGTATATAGTATTGGACCATTATATATTGGCCGCAGCCTACCCTCAAAGCAACATGGTTCGAGGGTGCAAATGTGCTCTGAAGTTTTAGCAATTCTTCGGTCTGCAACCATTTAAGGCCTGGTAAATCCTGTTACTGCAGGGCCTTATCTCGGATGTGTCACACAAGGATTTTGCTTCCTGTTAGTTTCGTTTACCTCGGGCATCTCCAAGCCTTTGGTTGTTTACGGTAATTGAACCTTCGACCGGTGTCAATCTGCTTTCAGACAGATCTCTGTGGTGAGCACACATAGTGGGAAATACCTCGAGACGGCGGCTCGCTGTATTAGCAAGATCTGACTCCGAAGTGGTAGTTCTAGTTCGCTACGATACTTTTGCACTGTACGGAATTCAACCCCACGGCAAGAATCGCAGTTAGTAAAATACACGCAATTTGTATCAACTTCTGTAGCAATCTCGGGACAAGTATGATGGCAATTTTGTTCTGCACGCGTTCGCCATTTCGGGGCTGTGTCAAATTTCGGATCTAGGGCTTTGCATGAGTTCCATACTTTCTGTTTGGCTTTTTAGGCTACGTATGTACTTCGTGTACCCCGATTGTACTTGTGTTGGTGCACCTTTAAAGCAATGGACAACCGTGTTTACGAGTTCTAATAAGGAGCATCATAAACGTATTACCGTCTTGCCATTTCAGTGATTTAGTATGTATTGAGGTAGAGGAGATACAAAACTGTCTCAGCGTCCTAGTTTTACCAACCTGTAGGTAATTGGCATAAATTTCCATTTACCCTCATCTTCGGCCATATCATTGTTCGCTCGAAACAATTTTCATTTCAGTATTTATTTGGGCATGTCGTTTGGATCCTGAACATCTCAGAATGGCAGCCCATTTTCTCGCCTTTTTGAGAAGTAGCATTCAGTATCCGTAAGTCAAGTAGATCTCGATTGTTTTATTGTTTTATGTAATTTCAGCAAGCCTCACTGCTTCGGCCTTCTTCTTTCTTCCACGGGTGAACGCGAGGATTATGTATTCGCCGTCGAACCACCTAATTCCTTCAACCCATTTGCCAGTGCTGGTGGCGGTTTTTCGGTAGGTTCTTTGTCGTCGACTAACGCCTCTACACCCTCCATTCAGTCATCATCGTCCGCCCGAACGCAGCACGGGGCAGGCAACACGTCATCTGGGCCTACCTCCTCTAGCACCAACGCCTTTCTCTCAGGCGGAACTACTGATCTCGACCCTCAGGCCTATGCCGGTAGATCTGATTCCTCCGGAACCTCTGAAGTACCAGCAGGTGAGAAAACTTTTTTAATCAGTCGGTCGAATCAGCCGGGCATCTATCGTAATTGTATGCCATGGTGCATTGCACTCAAATTTGACTTTATGTCCAATAACATAATTTGAGCAATTGTTTTCCTCTATCTTGTGTTTGGTTTTTGGCCTCTTTAATTTCATGTCACTGGAATGAATCCGTTAGCTTTCTGCTTGCTCTTTTTACCGCTTCTCATAAAATAGGCGTTTTTATCTAAACTTTCCAATGTGTGACCACTTAGATTTATTCACTTCTCGAGTGTTGCTAAAATCTAGCCATTCTAGATCCTGCACTTTGCTCTTTCTTGGACAGCATATTAATCAACCACAGGCATGGTCACTTAAAGGAAGTACCGTTATTTTTGCTAAAGCTTCGGTTCCAGCTCGCATAGTCTTTCAGAGAATCACTGCTATTTGTTTGTGGTACGGGTGAGTGTTTTAGTCTCTCCGCGTCTTCCTTCCTTAGTCAATTGCACCGCCATTGGCTAAGTACATTGTTGTTGTCGGTGTATGCAGAGAGTTTATTTAGCTCCTCTTGATTGTGTAGCCAAATTGTGTCATGAGGGACAATTGTGAAGGACAGGCTTTTATAAGGAGGCCGAGCCGCGCGCGTTTTTTTGGTCTTTTCACGGGCCAAACTCGGGAGGTTTGCAAGAAAGAGGCCACCACTAACGTGTACCGGTCACTAGCCTGGTGCCTCTTTGTTCTCAGGACTTTTAGGTACCTCGTACGTTCGTGCTTGTTCCATCCACACCATAACAGGATTCGCAAGAGTGTTCACTTTGTTTTTGAAGGGTTTTGTAGGTTTTTCCCACAACTGATCAGCGTTCGTTTGATGTGATCTTGCCTAATGTTCAACATTTGTGCTTTGTGGATTTAGAAGCCTCTGCACATTTGCATAACCGTAATTGAACTGTTCTGGCCTGCTCCAAGCACAAACCGGATTCAGTGCCCGGTTGAGGCCAATTTTTTTCCATGTCTCACCCATGGTGTTGTAAAATTTCACTTTGGGCGTGGTGTTTGACATTTCCCCGATCCGATCATTCCATGTGTACATAAAGCCAGGTATGTGTCCATGTTAGACGGTTTATTCACCACAACATTCAGCTGCTTCAGTTACCACAGGTCAACTCATACCCGTGGAGATGCAGCTTGGCTCTCACCATGGCACGGCACTGAGTGAAGCTTTGTCGAACTTTAGGCTCAGTTTGTGTAACATTTCGGCTGTATGTTGAGCGAAGAGGTTGTTTCACATAAAAGTAATTTGGTTTTTTGCTTAAACTAAATGGTCTGATTCGTCATGCGAAGGAAAAAGGCTTAAAGTCATTGGAATCACGACTTAGTTTAGTTTTTCTTTATAGTACTGTACACCCACAACTCTTGGGAGTGACACAGCGTAGTGACGATAAAGATTATGTTCTTGTCCAGTTTTGACTACTTCCATCTTGGTACTCTACAACTAGTATGTGTAGTGAAGCTTCAAAGGTCAACACACGGAGCTAATTTGCGCAAAACCTGACCTGGGAAAAAGGGCGGGGCAATTTTCAACCCTAATTGCTGAGCCCGTTGGCTATCCCTGTATTAGCTAGTGAGTTTATAACGTTTTTCTGTCGCATTTTCAGTCCGTTAATGTGTTTACAAGCCCCATAGTTAGCCATACAAAAGTTTGCTTCTGTTCCAGTTAATTTCGTCCTTCGTTCCTGATTTCCATTACTGCAGATCCATTAATGCAGTTTTTTTCTCATTAGTTGGAGAGACAACTTAGACGTTTGTCCGGTTTAAGTACATGCTTGCAAACCATTTACTTTTATTACCTAAAATTAGCTGTTTGGCACCATTATTCTTAAGAGGAACAGTCAAGCCTGCCCTTCACTTTCAAGCCTAGAAATGTGTACGTGTTAAACATCGTCCTATTAGGTTTTTAACGCTTCGTCTCATTTGAAGTTGGACCATTATTGGACCGCGATCGAGAAAATTACCGGCTGGATAAGGCTGCTGACTCACAACCACATTCGATTTGAGTTATAAATAAGCCCTGCTTAAATAATCCAAAATCACATCCCTTGCTATGGCTCTTTAGCATTTTCTGCCTTAACCTTTTTTTCCAATTTAGCTTTTTGACTTTATCAGAGGCTTATCACTGATGCACTTTTGACCCAAACATAGTCTTGGTAGTAACATAGTTTTCGGTAGAATAGAGCTGGACGGAAGCAAACAGGATCCTAATAATGCAATGAATAAGTTCACAATTTCCTCCTGCTTAGGCTGTCAGCGTTTCTATGGCCTAAGCAACGCCGCGGGATCAAGTTGGTCTAAGACCCTCAATTACCCAGCTGTCAATTTGTCGTCTGTCGCGGGGGCTGTTGGCAAGACTGCAGGAGGAGGCTCGTGTGGCGGACCGTCACTTACAGACCTGGCCTACGTGCGTTGGCTAAAGGCCCTTGCTGCACATTGTCGCAACACTCGTGCTGAATCTGCTGTAGACGCTGATCCTGAACGACGAAGGAGTGAAGTCCGATGCTTTCGGACGCTAGAGGTCAAGGTTGGTCAGCATTATCGATTCAACTCCCAGTAATTCCTACCTTGATTTGTCGCTTTCTGACTGATTATACTTGATTAATTGCTAAGTGACGAAAGGCTTTTCACATCACACGTTGCACTATTTATCCTAAATCTAGTAAAATGGTGAGTAGAAACTCGGTTTGAAGTCCACTCATTTTAGCAACAAATGCGAATGCATCTATCAAAAACAGTAAACAGATTTTTTTACTTGGCTTTTTTAGCTTACAAATGCTAAACTCCACCCAATGCCACCGTCTGGACGCCGTGAAGTCGCAGTCTACTCTGTTTTTGTTGACGGCCTCGAGATCGCTCGTGCATACAGTGGTGCCACGAACCAGACAATCACATTTGAGTTCGTCATTTCTGTGTTATTGTTAAGTTTTAAAACTCCAGAAGAGTTTTCTCTGCTGTCTTTCTATTTGTGTAGTCTACAAGCGCTAATGCGTGCTTGCACCATGCAGGATTCCGTACTTCGTCCCCAATGCCTGTTATCAACAAAGTGTTTTGTTTACTGCCCATTTTACCGACGAGCTTGTTGCCAGTAAATATTGTTACACTGTTCAATTCTCGAGTGCTGGTAAATGTTACACGCCCTAAGATGTGCCCTAATAAGGGGAATTATTTTTTTCAAATAGTCCTCTCACCCTGCCTCAAGTGTTTTAATTTTGGGTTGTTTTGTGAAGAGACCCGCTTTGTGAGGTTCCTACTGCACGTTTTGTAAACACTGTCGAAGTGACTTTCTCCGCCACCAAGAACCACTTACATGGAAATGTTCCCTGGTCGTACCATGATTTTGTATTCAGTTATGATATCCGGCTGTTGAGCTTTATGGTGGCCCAGTGGTCTAGCCCACATGATGAACTTCGTTGGTTAGTACTTAGGAGGTCCCTGAGCACACATCTTGTCTGTCGGCTCTCCGAGACATCTTACCCACATATTTGGGGTTCTCATTGTTCATGTTAGTCGCTGAAAGTTTTCGCCGCATATCTTTCCTCGCTGCTCGCCTGTTTCGTATAGTGATCAGTGAGTCACGAGACCTCACAAGTATCGCCTTTCACTCCGTTGGATGTCTAACTACCGTATAATATCGTCTGCTGCATCAGATTTATTTCGAGAAGACGGTTGTGTTGGTCGTGGGTTCTCTCATCCAAGGTTACGTGTTTCCATCGCCTCCATTGTACCAAGAACTTAGGTGTAGGGGTTAAGTTTTTTCTGTTCCCTTCTTTTCGGCAGAAACTGTCGCATAACAACTGATGGTTTGACAGTTGGTTCAATCTGTCATCTACGTGCAGGCACTTTCTCGCGTTTGATTAACTGCCTCGTACTCTAATTGGCAAAAAGTGGGAAAATTTTAACCACCATTTTCATGGTGTTTACCTTCATTTAACCTGATTTTATTGATCATTCGAGCAACACTACCTCCCTGATGCCTCTGCGTTTCCGTATCAGTACTTTTTTGATTCGTCTTATTATTCTTTGAGACTGATTTATTTTTTTTTCATTTTTGTAGCTCGATTTTGAAAATGGTTCTTGTTTAACTTCCTTTTTTCTCTAGGGAGTTTCCTTGTGGATATAAGAAAGTGGAAGTAACTTATCGAGAGGACAAAAAGAAACGACAGCGTAAGTAATTGCAATGTCGTTCCAGGTGTGTTCTGGAAGCCAACGCTTCTTAACGCTGGGTGTTTCCGCAAGTCAGCAGTCTTATTTGCAGCCAGTGACATGACCCAGTTGCGTTGTACACGTAATTTTCGGTTTTAGTCTGCGCTCATGGTGCTCCTTCATATTGAATTTTGTATTCATTTGCAATATTACCCTTACAGTCCCTTAATGCCAGTATGTGATTTTACCTAAATTTCAAGTAATCACCATGCAGATGCTGAAAACTGACACTATTGTTCAATTCGGCTTAATTTGGATAGCGCATATTTGTGTTCGAGATGGTCGGATGGTTCAACTCCCATATAATTAATTTTTCACTTATTCATTGCCGTTTTTAACTGCATAAGTGGGTGTGCCATCTTTGCACGTGGTCTTTTGGTTTCAACATGAATGGAGCAGGGTCCTTGGTTTGATCTCTTACCTGCAGTTTTTTTGTCTTCTTGGTATAAAAGACATCCTCCCCTCCCTCGGCCTTTTTTTGTGAAGGTGTTCTGAACGACCCCATGACTGCATTGAGTGCTTATCGTTCTGCAGTTTATAAGGGTTTTGCAAATATCTTTAATTCATCGCGTGTATTTTGTTCATTCTTGGAAACCTTTGGACCGCAGTTGTGAAGTGTTCCACGCAAGGACTCAATTTTCCCGATTGATGGCATTGCACATAATGCCTTGTTTCTAGTATGCGCTGGCCCCTTCAAGGGCAGTAATTTTGTCCTTTCGTGTGGGATATTGTAAAATCACTTCCGCGTTTGCCTTGAGCCTTATTAGTTAATCGTCTCTTCCATACATTTTGCTACCTCGTGTAACTGACAGTTGTTTTGTTAAGGGATACTGCCGAGATCGATTGCTGTTAAAGATGGTAGCGACTTGCTGATGCATCGTAATTGCTGCAACTAGCTAGGGTGTCTGTTTACAGCACCGTTAAACGTATTATTATTTGTCCGTGAGATTCACAATCACTGTCCCCAACGGACAATTTATGAATTGTCGATTATGTCGATTTTTAGGCGAACCTTAATTTAGAATACTGCCACGATAGTTTGCTTAGTGGCTATGGCTGCCGTAATGCGATGTTAATAAGTAACCTATTTTGGTTCCTTCTAAAGAATTAGTCGATAGTGCTTGTTCTACGTTAATAAATTTAATCCTCAGAACTGTCGCCTAATTCGTGTTCTTTTTCGTCCTTAAGTCGAGCTCCTTGAATAATTCCCTGTCACCCGATTGGTCTTTTGAGCAGACTTTTATCAGTAAACAGTTTACAAAATATCTAAAAGAGTAACAATTTCCTTATCAATACAAATTTTATGTTGTAAATAAAAAAAAATATATCTGCTATTAAGGATCAGGCAATGTTTTTGTAGCTCTTGTGCTGGCTGAACTTGATTTAACTGCACAGCAACCCACCAATGTAGCGAGTGGGAGCACAGCATCCCAGCAATCCCTTTTGGGGAGTTCAGCAAGTGTCGATTTATCAGCAAGTGCAGGAACTGTGGGGAGTCGTAGTTCCGCCGGGGGCTGTGATTCACCAGAGAGCCAGCCTCCACCACTGCCCAAGCCAACCTTCTCCCCAAAGCCGATTTGCAGTTTTCGTGAGTCCGTCTCTCCCCACGCCACTCTCACTTACCGTGAACTTTATGTCCTGCCCTTCCAATGTTATGACAAACTGCGAAAGGTTAGTTTCAAAACAGGTTCGTAATTAAGGAAAATGATTAATTTGTTCCGCTGACAATTGTCGGTAAAATGTGGATTTTCTGAATCTCCCGGCCCATGTTGTGTCCCCTTAATTGGCTTTCCAACTCTAAATTATTTCTCATGTTTGCCGCCGTTTCCATCTATCCAACGTGCCTGCACCCTTCACATCACGTCTACGTTGATATCCTGTTTGGGATCGATGATGCACTTTTTGGGGCGGATTGTTGTCTGTTTAGCTAAAGCGACTCGGCTTTGGTGGTAATTCATGCGCTGTGAACAGGCGAGTTTGCCGGATGCCCTTTGCATGGCATCTCTTAACTAACTGACCGGTGAAGTGGTCATGCCAAAAGTTCAGTCCTTCCCTAGTACCATCGTATGTGCCTCGTCTTATTTGTGTGGGTCGATTTCCCCTGAACTGTGCACAAAGTCTCCCGCTCTATACTTTCTTACATTTACCCAGATGATTCTGGTTGTGAATTCTTGCTGATTGCTGATCGCTTTAATCAATTCGACGGCGTGATGTCTGAAAGCTTCTGCTAAATTTTACTGTTAAGATAGTACAGTAGAATTTCTCCACTTAATGTTTGTTTTTCATTTGTATAAAACCATCATTTAATTCGCATGCCTTTATTAGTATTCTTACATATAAAATATAGCGAGAACTCAAATTTCAGAAGACTTGTGGTTTCTTCGGACGTTTGCCCCACCTGCCTATGAATAGGTGCACACATTCATATTATACACTCATTCCTTTTAGGTGATAACTTCTCACTTGGAAAGCGAACTTGTTCCCGTCTGTACATACATGTGGGAGGTCTTGGCAAGCGATCAAAATAATTTTCAATCCAGTCTCCTACTCGCTTGCATTGAGTCCAAACGTCATCTTGAATTGATTGTCAATCTACTGAAGGCCATCATTCCTTCCGACAATCCCAGTCAGTGCCTATTTTTCTTGGTGCTAGTTTAATTCCATGTATATTTTAACCACCCCTTTTTCTCGCTTTTAGCGTTGCTGCTTTAGTAGTCGATATCGAATTCCACCCATTAGTACGGTTAGGTTAATATTTAAACGCTGTAATATTCAATGCTCCCGCATAAGATACTTGTGTCTTGTTACCTCCGTGATCCTGATTTAGTTAATAATTTGATATCGTGCTTATCTACTGTTTCAATTAATCACTCTATCCGCCCGATGAGATTCCTTTCCTGCATCCAGTATAGAAACGTGTGTCAATTATTTATCTGCTAAGTTTTTCGGAAATGCTGCAAAGTTATGTGGCAAAAGTATTAGATTGTAATTGAAAAACAAAAATGTCCACTAAGGGCATCTCTAGGTTCTAATCCAAAGCTCAATCGATTTCACTTTGAATCAGTGTTTTGCGCAAGGATGAATTTGGGTAAAATCTAAAGCGATTATTCTTCGGCGACAGTTTTAAATTGCTGCAGCGTTCTTGAAATTGGTTATTGCAAATGTTTCATTTTCGTATACACTTTGATCTACCTACGAAATGATTGTCTTAACATTTAGGCTGCTGGATGACTCCTTTTTTGCCGTGTGGAAGATGTACATAAACTGCATGATTGAGCCTGCCCTTATGCACGTGGCTTAGTGCACCAAATCACCATCCAAGTCGTAAAACTCTCACACTAGCCAAATTCGCACACCTGCTTAGTAACCGCCTGTGGATATTTTCAACCGAAAATGGCTTAGCCTGGGGTTATTTTTTTACTTCCTTGGGCTTAGCAAATAGTTTTTCGAAATGAAATGTAACCATTCACAAATTTCGATCTGTCTAATTGTTGTTTCCTCGTTAAATGTGGTCTTTCAATGTGCAAATCCTGCCTGAAACTCGGTTTCTTCATGACTTCTGATGAGTGTCATTCTTGAGTGCTATATTAGTTTCCTCTGGATAAACTGAATTGGTGTGTGGACGAGTTTCGTCAAGTTATCTGGAGTAATGCTATCCTGCCTCGATGAAGTCCATTTTGTCCATTTTGCTTTAAGAACGCACTGCTAAATGAACAAGTGGCCGGATCTCGACTGTCCATACTCTAAGTATTTATCTTCTAGGTGGTGCCTTCAGATCGAATGCCCTCGGCCAATTAATCATGGATCAGTATATGAATATGGTGTGTTCTGACTGGCGCCAAAACTGCTTCCGCCGCGTCTTCAACGAGGTGGCAAAAGGCGCCCCTGTTGCCCTCTCCTCCGCTTCTCCGCCAACAGCGTGCACGGTGCCCGCGCGAACAGTCAAGGGTTCCACTGGATGGGAAAAGTACCCGACTTCCGACGTGTGTGAACCCTCTTCCTCTTCGTCCGGGTCGTTCAGCACTCACTCAAGTAAATCACTTCAACTCCTGTGACAGTCACACTGATATTTAACACATGGAGCCTCCTTTTATTCCGCCTAAATCGTTTTTTCGACAGTAAACGTTCTAGTTATTGTACACAGGAGCAGTTTGACTTCACACACCCATCGAGTGTCTTCTGTCAGTTGATAACTTTGCGGATTCAGACCTGTGCAATTTGATCTCTAAATATTATGCCACTAAACGGTCGCTCCTATCATTGATTTCGGCAACTTCTCGAGGCCTTAATTTTCGGCATGTCGGTTTTTGTTTTCACCCTTTCAATTTGGATTTTGTATTCGTTTATAAAAAGTTCTAAAAAAATCAGATGTAAATGCTCAAAATCACGTTGTTTTCCAGTCCGCTCACTGATCTCTCATTGTATCAGGATCACGAGTTGTCCAGGGATCAAGTCCGAAACAAATCGCCCCATTTTCTGCGATTTGTTTTGCTAATTAGCTTATCTAGCTGTGCATTTGCATAATAAAAAATGTGTCGTATCTTTTTTAAGGAGATCGCGTGTCCAATCTTTTTGCTCCAATCTGACAGAACAAGGCATGATTTCTCGACATATTGTTGTCACGGCGATTTGGGTCGCATTTTTGTAGTTTTTGTGATATTGTATTTTTTCGCACAATCTGATTTTGTAAATGAAGTGCGTTTATCAAAAAACTCCTAGTCTACACACCAACATCAGAAGTGTCCTAGAGGTGACGTGTAAGATTAATCAGTGAGTTCTAGAGTCTTCTAGTGATTAAAGGTACTGATCACCATGAACAACAGTGGTGGAAGTCGCAGACACGTGGAGGCCAGAGTTGGCCCTTCACATGGACTATGGTCTCCACCACGATGAACCTCGGAGAGATGGTATTTTGCAAAATTAGTTTTAAGGGCTTTGGAATTAGCGTTCTGCCGCAGTATCACCGTCGATCTTGGGATTTTCAGAATTCACTTGACAAATCTGGTTGTGTCTGCGTAACCTTAAATTGCCGCTGAAATCCTAGATGTGATAATTCTGTCAGGTATTGCAAAAAGCGTGGAGGAGTAGGGCGACAATATCTCGTAGACCTATGCTCACCAGTTTTCAACGGATGCCAGGCATCAATTATCGCTTATTGACAGCAATGTGTGCGCATTTGGAATACATTTGTGCCTATTGACAAGTGCACTTCATATGGACTGATGGTTGAGTAAAACCTGGGCATTCACACATTCCTCTGCGTCCACTTGTAGTTTAGTTGGGCGAGTACAAAAATACTGCGTGGAAACGACCCAAGGTAATTATTTTTTTTTATTTTGTGTCCGGTATTCCATAGTATGACATTTACTTTGAAGATTTTGGAGTGGCATGTTTAATCCATTAGCACGTAATCGTAGCTGAATTAAACCAAAGTCGTGTTGCTTAAATTATGATTCCGATATTGTTGGAGGGACTTTATGAAGGCTCCATTGTAGACCAGTTTTGTCTGTCACTGTAATTGTTTTAAGCGTTAGACCTTTTACCAGATTCTAAGAGGTGGATCGAAGTTGTGCAGAAGCATCTGAAATCAGCAATTTAAGAATACTGAAACACTTTTCGCAACCACCAGAACTAGCTCAATGTTGCATCTGAATGTGCTGGTTGTTGCATCATGCCTAGAACATTTTTCAAGCCATTTAAGCTGTGTTTTATAGCTGCACTAGTTTGATTCCCCATAGCTTCTTCAAAATTGTAATGACTTTTTCAGGCTATTAGTTTGATCAACTTGAAGCTGTTTTTTATCGTTCTGGTTGACTTTCAATGCCACCCATCGTTCACCAGCTGTCTACAAATTTTGTGGGTTAACACCAGAGCTGTGCCGCTTTGAGCTGGTGTTTGATGGGGTTAATGTATGCGCTTGACGTTAAAGTTTGTTGAGGCAGAGGTAAGACACGTAAATACTCTGAAATATACAAACAATTGAAGCTCGGCCTGTATCTAGTTGGGATCGCGACTGCTTACAAATCGCAGATATGTATAATTTTGGGGCAGTGACTGTTACTGACCATGATCAATAGAAATGCCAAATAGGAATGTGGTCGATTAATTACGCAATTGTGGGTAGAAAATGTTAGGTGTACAGGGTGATTAATGGGCCAGTAAACGCGTAGGCTTGGTGACAGGTGTTAAACGACTTCTATGCTGGCTCAATAATTAAAATTCCTGTCACCATTATCCATAGTATTTAGGATAAAGTTAGCAGCATTTTTGCTTTTCAAATGGTTCTAATAGTGTCATTTATAATGTTTCTTTCCTACTACAGCTTCAGAACTGCATCGGGTTGCAACGTGCCCTGCGCAGCATCACAGCGATGCATCTCCTGTTACCTCACAAGTGTTTTCCTTATCCACTCCCCGAGCCAGTAATTATTCCAGTCAGGCAGAGTGGTATTGTAGTCTGGTTGAATTACTGATCGAGGATTTGCTAGAATACGCCAAAGAATTCCCTCTTCAAATTCGCTGGATTTATTCCGAACTACAGGTATTTGCCTTGATTTCATCTGATTGCGCGTTACCCTCCCAGCAGCCATCTGTCTAATGGGATACTATGATGACTGATTTTTGTGTCTTTAGAAATGCCCAGAATTGCAATCTACAAATGTTGTCTTGTGTAATCTGCTCTTCCTCCGTGGCCTCTGCCCGTCGCTCTGCAAGGGTTGCGACGTTTCGGGGGCCGAATCCCCTGCTCTCCGAGACTCAAAGGTTCGCAAAGTCATGCAGACACACTCGTTTTCTTTGCAATGCAAATATGTTGTATCCCTTGTTTTTAGGCCCTGAAGACTGTTGCAAAATACCTCATTGCTTTAACTAGTCAAAAACCGAACGTTAGCGAGAACAGTCTCCCACCTGACGTGTTCACTTCGTGCAGGTCTAAGCTCCTCAACAAGTTCGCGTCCCACGTTTTGGTAAGGCACACTTGCTTAAAGCTCTTTTCACCCCTACTGCTTCAAAAGCCCCTATATTTGGATTATTCGTTGACCCAGCTGATGGATAGTACCAATATTTAATTGTGGTGGGTGGTCCATCAGTTCAAACAGCTAACTCCCAACTCCTTCAGCTTCCACGGTGTTGTCTCGTTTAGGGAAGCAGGGCGTTGTTTGGGCATGGGTGTTTCCCTCAGTTTATACGTGAACTTTTATTTTGTGTATGTTATTCTGTTGTGTACTCACTCTAGTTCGCCAATCGGTCTGATTCAGTGTTACTTTAGGCAAAATGAAGGTTGTGATGTGAATTACTGCAAAAGCCTCAGTAAAAACGCCGAAATCGATTGACAAGTTTTCAACCTTAATCAGATCGAAATTCTGACTTTATTTGACTCTGGTTTCCCATGTGGGATCCTCGCGTATGTTAAATAGCCAGTAGCAAGTCACTGCTGTTCCACAAATAATCTAAATTCCTTTTACCCGAAATTGCGCTTCAGCACATGGTTTGTGTTGATTTGGCACCACTGCGGTACAAGAGATTTAATTGGATGTACTGGTGACGAATTAGGTAAGATATCGCTGTCACATTGAAGTCCTTTTGTGGTTTATTTGATGAAAGTGATTTTAGCTCTGTTCACCGACTACGGCAACTTTGCCAACCTTCTTTAGACTCATGTAACTCACTCTAATGGTAGACATTGCTGAGTTTTTAACCGACAACAAGATGTTCTGCCTTTTTCTTTGTTCATAAATAACCTACTTGAAATGTCGAAATACACAATTTCAAAACTAAGTTCAATGCTGATTTCGAGTTGCAAAATTTTAACGTTGTAAGGTTTAATACACTATTCGTTGTGTGGTGTTAGAAGGACCAAGTCGTCTGAGGCTATTCGACTTGTGGCTTTGTGTTTCTTCAACATGAATTAGACTGTGATCTGTTTGAACGCGTTAGTCATCTTTAAACGTTTAGTTTTCGTTTTTTTTGAACAATTGTTGGCTGCTTCATTTTTTATGCGACGCCCGCTCACTAGTCCAACATGTGTTTATTTATTAATGCAGTCCTGTGGCTCCATACTTTTATCTAGGTAGACTCCTGCTCCTCCATCAGTTCATGTTAAATATCTCGGTGCCTATTTACCCTTCCAGATTTTTTGCAGCTGTTGTGTTCGTGTCGTTTCTATACTGTGCTATGCGACGTGAAGGGTTGCACCTCAGAGATCTTGTTTGCCTTGTTGCCACCACGGTGCCTCTCCTAAGTGGCCCCAATCCGACCAAACCAGTCGGAATCCATGTGGTCGTGGGTGAGCTTGTCAAACGTGACTGTTGGAACTGCGGTGTGTGGCTCCAGTGTTGTTGTTGCGTGGGTTGTGTACGATTGCTGTTATTTTAACAAAACTATAACAGATGCATGCAACAAGTCGAAAACAATACTCGATCAAAGTTTACTGCAACTTTGCAGACTGAAAGGGAACCTTTATAAAAACCTAATTAATCCAATTTGCTGGTTTTATTGTTTTAGTCTCCACTGTCAACGGAGGAGTTGAAGCGCCTAGAGGGTCTGTACATAGAGGAGGCAATGCGTGCAAGTGCCAGCTCTATGAGTCGCGAACTTGCCCAATTAGCCAGTTACTTTCAGCTGGTTTTTTTATCTGATTCAACTCCCGGCAGTGGTGGCAACTGGGAGGACACACCCACGCTGCTTAATAGGGAGCAGCTCGCCGTCATACAGAGGCCAAATGCGCCACACCTGCGCGAGAGCCTACTGGAGTTAAATAAGCTTACCCCAACGACCTCAGCGCCTGTTCCTCACCACCATACGGAGATGCCAATGGCGATGACCCCTCACCCGAAGTTGAGTGCGGGGCTGATGAAAGGTCTCAGTGGAATCTTCGCTTCCTCATCCGGGTCAGCCTCTAAGGGAACTGGCGCCAGTCCTTCAAATGCTTCCTCAATGTAATAATGGTGATGATTATTGGGCTTTTAACTGCATTTCCCGGGCATTCTTGATCTTATCGTGCCCAATTTCCCCTTCCTGTCCTGTGCTCTAAAGTCTTTCAGTACACATCAAATCACATGATAAATGACTTGATATTTATAGATCTGAGTTTTTTGTTCTGACGAGTGCTGGGAACGTTCATAGTACATTTCGCTGTTTTTAGCTGCATGTGCACTTACAGTTATGTTGCGTCCTCAAAGTATTTCACTTGTGATTAGCAGAAAGCCTTGCTTGTTGAACTAAGGGTCTCATTCACTGATACAGAGGTTTGTTTCCAGCGAGCTCAGGCCATTCGCCGTGTTCTAACAACAGGCGGCAGGCGCGCCACTACTTAATTCTGAAAAGCGTGGTTAATGCCTTAGTTTGTTGATTTGTTGTGACTGTCACATGTTCACTAGTCAGATGAGGTCTTATTTAATTCTTAGGCAGAAATCGACTGTGTTTAGGGTGTTATTATCTTAATCTGTTAAGTCCTAGTGATTGGTGAAGCCCGTAACTCCTGTGTCGCCACACTGGGTGTCCAGTTTGAGACGGGAGCATGACTCACCGGCTGCGCATAAACAAAACCGAGACCGTTTCGAGGCAAGAACTAATCTTGGCACCCTGGCAGCATACTCCTTTCTGAGTTGCTGAAGATGAGCCGTTCGGGTTGCTCCCACTGTCCGCTTGCTTGTCTAGATACAAGTCCTAGGTACTTTGGTACATTTCTCAAGATGCGTGAATATTAATATTGTACCTACTTAAATATGTAATTATGTAAGACAGGAATTCTCAACGTCTTAGTAAGTAGAAGAAATTTAGTCGGCTGATTTGCAACCTCCTGATTTCTAACAATGGGCACTTCGTCGAACATCCGTTGTACTGAAAGTCGTAATAAATTGCTCTTCACGGGGTTGTGTGAAAATGAGTCACTCGTTTCCGCTCCTGCGCATGCTTTTGCTGGGATTATTTGGAATTAAACGCTTTACTTGAGTTAAAATTTATGCAAGACTGACTAGAAGTAGTGGAATTAATACCGAACGAAACACTACAAAAGTAGTATCTTGAAATGAAATATGCACTCATGAAACATGAATAAAACCCTTTATTCCTTCGCCTAACGGTCGTTTCGGTTTTTGTCATAATCGAATTGGACTAGGTCGCGAAAATGTTTGCGTGACTGGTTGAACTCGCTCCAAACTTTTCGGAATGGAACTCGTTAATTATGTCAGAAGTAGTACATGAATGCTGCATTTAGTCCTCCCGAAATCGTGGTTACGTGGTCTGACTTAAAGAAGCGACCTCACCACTAAACACTACGGCTATCTAGCTGGCAATTAATGCCTTCCTATTTAACTAGGTGTTGTCGAAGGATGTCATCGGCTGCACGCATTGCGAATATCGGCACTCTCGGGGCTCGTCGTATATGAGTAACATTCGGAACATTAAACATATTTTGCGTACTAATTTGCATTTACACTTTCATGACATATAGGACTTTTAAAATGCAAATCTGGCCTTAATGTAAGTCCATGGAAAATTGATAGATTTGACTTCCAGAAAGAGCCTGTGAGCATTCGTCAGCACAAATGGAATTTATGCCAAATCGCCAATCGTCGTTGTCTATGTTTTTTGTATTGAGGATACCTAGGCGTCAGGAACATTGCATACCACAGAGGTCACCTAAACATTGATTGGATCAACCAAAATTGACATAAAAATAAATATCTTGAGATTGAGTGCTTCTGGCAAAGAAATGCCAATTTGGACTAGAGTTTTTTATATGAAAAAAACAATAAACGTTTTAACATTTGAGTTTTTTGAGCATTTTAACGGCACATTTTCTCATCAAATTTGTAAAAATGGTGGTCCGTTTTTCTGGAATTTCGCCACGCTTCGGTGAAGTGTGCTGGCAGAAACAAAGGTCTCGTATTTCTCGGCTTCTTGGAAAATGTGCTCGTGAATTAGCCTATTAGGGGATCAACTATCATGCTAACTCCAACACTCTTCAAACCCTTTTGTAAATAAACTGATGCACAAATGAGGCTGCTTTTTTCATAAGAATTGAGTGTCTCGAGACTTTTTACTTTTCACCGGATACCACTTAGCTGCGGCTACAGATGTTCTAATTTGCATATAAGGCGATGGATTACTGGGATGCTTGAAGAACACCTTTTAATGTAAAATGTCATGAATTCTCCGATTCCTGTAATTTTTCTGTTCACTTTTGTTGCGCTTGGTGTACGCATAGAAGGTCTTCCTTAAGCCACTTATTCAGCTTGAGGTTGCAGGCATTTGCATTGATGACCTTATTTGAAGTCTAGAGTTATCGGTCATGTTACCTCACTTCCGTAATATACTGTGTTTTCAATTTTAAACACAGTGCGCTGGATCCAGTTCACGTTTGGTGAGTTCCAACGACCTAATGAAGCGAATTTTACATTAGGTCTTATCACTGATTTCCATGCTTTCTGCTGATTGTGTAAAGCCCATACTAACTCACGATGGGTCTTGTGTGTCTAATTTGCCTGATCGAAATGCTATTTTTGAGAATTATCTGTGGTCGCATTCCGACCAGGCGTTATAAGCTATTTTCTTATCTTAAACACAGAGAAATAAGTGATATTTGTGCCAGTTAACATGAACACACATTCGTGACAAATACCATAGCACCAGAACAATAGGCTGTCTAACTGTATTTCATACTAGTTTGGGAGTAAGATCTTTTACGTTGACTTATACAAGTGTATTTGTTTAAATTGTGTGCACAAATATTTTGCTCCAATGACAATCATTTACGAGTGGACTGCCAAAAAATCAAAGCTGTCTAATGCACAATTTTTTTATAAAATATTTTTTGTCCCCGATAGGCAATGTTAGTGAATTAGGATTAACTGTGTCAAAACCAAAATTCCTAACTAGTGCCTCTGCTCCATTTTTAATTTTCCATAATATTGGTTAAACCTAATCAGCACTATTAAAATGAATTGCACAGCATTCCAAATGGATGGTTTGTCTTACCAGATGCTGCCATCCTCAAATAGTCAATATTGAATGTCCTATCGAGGTCTCAAAGGGACGACTTGAATTAAAAGCGCATGTACACCAGGAAGTAATTAGATTAGCACTTATCGGCATTAGCGGGAGGCCAGGCGTAGGCCTCTTTGGCCTTGTGTCTGATTGGTGGTGATGCATGTTTGCAAATATCAAAGCCCAGTTTTCCTGGAGCACTGATATATTTAATTAAAATGAATGGGAGGTTAAGTTAATGAAAAGAAAGTGCATAAATGTAGAAAAAGACCAATTAAAAGGAACCTTTTTGGGTATAGGACTCGACTTTGACTCAAACCATCCTGCATGAACAAATATTCAACATCCTTACTTATCATTACGAATTGACTGATCTGATAAGATTTACGTTGCCCTAAAAATTATTATTTGCAGAAACGTGTCTGGGAAAGCACTCAATAAGCAGAGGAGTGACCTTAACATTGCTCCGGTGTGGCTTCGTTAAAAGGCCATTTTGCCAGACCACTGGGAATGGGTTAAATAATGGTATTAACCTGAAATTTAGTTGGACATTGCCAGCGTCCACGGACCTTCAGCTTTCCTTAGAGTTACACCAGTTAATGGCTACATCGACGCAGTGGTAACGGCGTAAGCGCCAGAGTGCCTTATCAACGCCGACGACGATGGGCGTGGATGCTTGAATTTTTGATTACGAATGCCCCTTCTGCTGCGCATGTACCATTCTGTTTTCAACACTGGCATGTTTGGTGTCGATAGTCATGTTGACTCGCCAGGAGCACCACCTCTTGTGGTGGTGCACGTCACTTCCTATCATGATTGCTTATTGCCCTGATAAATCATTAACTCACTCTTAGTTGGTTTCAGCTGTGTGTTCAAAGTAAACATGGATAAGCAACTAATTCACATGTTTCCTACTTTCACCAACCAAGTTGTTTGCGAATAAATACCCTTCTTTACTAAGGCCTCCTTGATTTTAAATAACACTTTTGTAAGTGGTTAGTGCTTTTGCACCAGCATTATGTAGGCGGCGACCGGTTTTTGACATGGACAGAGTATCGGTGAACATGGATTAGACGATTTCAACAAATCGCACTAATGTTCTGAGTCCATCTGAAACCAATGCTATCCATCATTTTGCATCTTCATGCTGCTTTTGATTAAGTATTGAGATACCTGTTTTTGAAGTCTAGCTTCGATGATAAACTGGGAGAATTATAGGGCCTAGTACGAGAGAACTTGGCCATTTCCTTAATTGCTCAACCAATTTGTATCTGTTCATAAAACCCCGCCTGTTTGTAACTCCAAGACGCACCCGGGTACAACGTTTTCTGACAAGATCGGGCGACAGAAGTTTGGAGTAAAGTTAATTATGAAGATGAATTTAAGACACGTAGAATCCATACAGCAGTAGAGAAACCAGGAGTTACGTTTCGGAGATGAACGAAGTAACTGAATGCAATTCACCACAATATCGTGTTTCTCTGTTAAATTGGCCCAGGTTACTGTTTCACATTGAGAAAACTAGGGTAAATCGGAATTTTAAGTAATAAATGAGGCAGTGTAATAAGTCACAACTGTATTGCTAGAAAGATATGCGTTTACGCTAATTGTACAATGTAAACGTCTGACGTATGCAGCTAATGCATTATCTGAGTCGTACTTGCCGTATATGTCCCTACTATGTTCCACGGTTCATACCCAACATCTAACATTTTATTGGGACTATAAATGTCATTGCCGACACTTTCTACAAGGCACACATGCACTAATTGAGCGTTTCCTGTACAAATTTTGAATGGTTTGCCGCAGCCAAAACAAATGACACGGAATTTAGGAAATTCTGGCAAAATTTTGTCTGAACTTAAATAATCTTCTCTACTGTCTAAGAAAAATCAAGAAGGCAAATTTAAAATAAAAACGATTTACATTAAACTCAATTATTATGCATGTAC